TGCGCCATATATAAAGAGAATTTTGAACAAAATTAGACAAGAAACATTATAATAAAAAACTTTGCTGTGATAATAATGAGGATGAAGGGAATTCACTTACATTTATTATGCTTTAAATCGTCTCCATATTAGGCAGTAAATTTAAAAATTTGTTCTAATATTAAAGTATTACTAAATGTCTATGTAGATCCTGAAGTTAATGTCTCTAAGTCTGAAACATTTAGCCCAGAAGAAATAAAATGGATTCATACAATGATCCTACAATATTTATTAGTGTCGTTTTAAAGAAAAAACTTACGGAGAGGATGTTTTTCACTGATTGAGTCGTTCTATCGCCCGTGTGAAGTGGTATGATAAGGTGAGCAATATTGAGGTTAGGCGTCGAGTGCTAGGTAAGGAGTGGATATCAGTCAACGAGGCCGTGAAATTACATCAACTGAAATGGTTAGGACATGTGTTACGCACGTATGCCTAGTCATCGCCTTCCTCGACAATGGGCAATGTTAGCTGATATAGGGTCAGACTGGAAAAGAGCTAGCGGCGGTCAAACGAAAACATGGCACCAGTCAATGAAATCCACAGCAGTTAGTCTAAGCCAGCAACGTAGGAAGGTGTAGACTGGCTTCCTGACTGGTTGGGGTCCTTAGGACGGTAAAAATCAATGGTTGGAAACAATTGGTGACATGGCTCGAAATCGTTCTCAATGATGGCTGGCACAGATGCATCCACTCCTTGTGACTTATGATTTCCAATGAAACTGTTTTTTTCTACGTTATTACTATTCCTTTGTCTCACACCTCTGTTTAATGTCTGCAATATGCATTTCTCCTACTTTGTTCTCTTGCTTTGTGTGCTACATGGAGTGTGGCCACTTGACTTGCCGCACATATGTGCAAAGTTCTATGTCAAAAATAGACAGACAGATTGAGTCATAAGTTTTCCAGTTACAGAAGAGTTTGACGACATGCATAACAAGCATATACAGAAATATGAAAACTGCAACAATAGGAGTTTTATAGCATCACTTTTGTTTTCATACAAAACAGGAATAACAGTAGCAATCGAACCTTATAAACTCCTCTAGAAACAAATTACTTTGGTGAAAGGATTTTGTGGTGTCTACTAAACAATACGGTTTAGTTTATCTAGTACTCTGCAATGATTGTTAGATCAAATAAATACGACAGAGTAGTGGAACAGGGGTGGCAGTCAGACTGGTGGAGCACATAAACCTAGTTGAGGTTACCGTACCGTAATGTAATAGTCATCACGTCTGTTTAACACACTGAAGGTCAACATTTCGAGCCTGGGCGGAAACATGTGCTTTTACGCAGCGGCACAGCGGTAGAATACTCGTGGTTAGGGGTTCAATCTCTGGTTGACGTATTCCTTTACTTTACTATGCCAGTAATAAGACTGGTGGAGAGGGAAAGTTGGGCATGAGGCTTACACTGCTACCGAAACTCCAAAGCTTTAGCTTGAAGACCTGTGTTTCACTGGGAACGTAAAGGAATACAGTAATACTGATAAGCCCTTGTAGGATTAGAAATTTAAAAAATATCTCAACTATAGTAGTACATGCAAATACACACAACCATAAAACTCGATGGGATAATATAATAAGCCGAAAATTTGACATAATAAAGTGGAGAGAGAGGCAAAGAATAACAACAGAAGCTTCATTTATCGAATCCATCGAAAATAAGTGCAGTAGGAATTTTTCAACACCCATCCTGTCGGACCTCTGGAAAATTCTACTAAGCATACGACCAATGGGAAGGAGTGAAGAAAACTAGAAAGATCAAGTTTCAAAGCTGAATAGTAGTTATATCTGATATGCTCATGAACAGTGAATTGTGTTCAAAACTTTATCCAGTAAATAGTACTGAATCACTGTATGTTTTATCCGGCAAAAAAAATATTGTGGTAGTAGAAGCGTTATTGTTGTTTTAATGCTAGGCTCATGTTGGGCATTCCCCTCCTATTCCAGGGATAGTGACGAATAGATGGAGTTTAGAAATGTATCGACTCAGAATAGAGCCCTGAAATTCCTACTTAGATGGTGGTCATTTCGTTGTCTGACTACTGACATACCAAAGGAAACAGTTGTATGACGTGATCTTTTTCTATAACTTCACTTTCCGGTTCTACTCATTAGAGATATACGATGAGTTATTGTTATATTAACTATTACGGACTCTTCTTTTGGAGAAGACTTTCATCAGTGTCCTTTTCCGTTCGATAATGAAGACCAACTAACCCGCCAGAAAAGGTAACTAACAACGTACCGGTATGACCAGCCAGCCAACAAACTAACTTTTATCCAAGACTTAATGCAGCAGTGAACAATGACGGATGTACTGAGGGTTTCACATCGTAGGCAGGTAGGTAGGCTGTAGATTTTAACTCGAACAGAGAGCGTCAGATTGGTCGTGAGTTTGAGGATGACGGGCAGTACAGCATATGAAGAGGAAACGAATGCTTGTGGACGAGCATGGATCCAGTTAAAGAGGACTGCAGAGAGAAAAATGCTAACTTCTGTCCATTCAAAATACATATTACACCACTGTTAATCAGTGCCAACGATGAACATAAACTTCGAACCAACCTTACTGCTATAAAAAAGGTTTTTTGTATTTCCCAATGAATGAAAAACAAAACGATATTGTTTTTAATGATGTTTCGCTATTTAATGCTAATGATATCAGAACAGTACTCAACCAGCTCGGTATTAGAGTTTTCTTCAAAACATCAGACACACTTCGAAGCAACCTTGTCCATATAAAAGACCAAATCCTTAGAGATTTCCCATCTAATTGTGTCCATAAAATAAAATTCTTGGAATGTAATGTGATATACATCGGACAAACATCACCAGAGAGAAATCAAAATCAGAAGACATGAACACCGTAGAGTATCTCTTTGACCACCAAGAAATCCTGTTGAACTAGAAAAACTTGAAAAATCATGAGCCATAGGTCTACATGCTATAGAATCAGGTCACAAAATTGATTTTGACAATATTGAAATAATCCAGAAAAACTTCAGAAATCATAAAGAACGCCTCATATCAGAAGCACTTCATATCAAGTGGAATCCAAATTGTCTGAATAGGAATGATGGACTAAAACAGAATCTAACCTGGTTACAACACCTCCCTCCCCCATGAAGTGGCAGAATCAACACGAATGTGATATGCAAGTTCGCTATGTAAACACACACTGCTTTTATAATTTTATGCACTGATCAAATCCAACAATCTACACTTGGTTTTGTTATCTTTACCAATTGACGAAGTTGACAAAGAAAAATGACCCCAGACTGACGAACGATGTTGAAGTTAGTAAACTTTGTTTTGGTATCATAACAGATGTACTATAACCTTTGTTATTTGGTTTAGTGATCTTCATTGTTATTTTGACTTTCAATATGTCCTTTTAACTTGACCTATTTTCTCACCCCTCAACTCTTTGTTATATATGTGCTGAGATTTTGTAAATTCCAGTTTAATAATACTTTGATAAAGCTATTAGCACTAAATAGCGAAACGTCAGTAAAACTAACAATATCGTTTTGTTTTTCATTCATTGGGAAATACAAAAAGCTTTATTATAATGAATATCATACACCCAATGCCCAAATTTTTTCAAACTGTTAAAAGTGAACTTGGTTTGGACATATATAAATTCAGTCAATTCAGTAGAAATTTCTCTGAATCTGAAAATTTGACCACAACCATAACATTACTTATAGTGGAGTTATTCACCGTGAATAAGAGCTCTTGAAATTCGAGCTCTTTGTCGGAATTCATATTCGTTGTTACAGTGATTATTATTATTGTTATAATTCCCTCCAGTTTCAGGTGAAATATAGCCCTGAAACAGCATATCTCTACTTGATTCTGTTCTCTTGAATCTTCTTTAGCTGACATCATGACTGCCTACAAGCATTCACTTCCTTTTCACACGATTTACTCCATGCCACCATGGAAGACATAACCAAGCTGTCACATTCTGTTCGAGTTCAACTCTACAACCTGCTACCTGTCTGTCTATGTGCCATATGATGTCCTCAGTGTGTATTCAACCTATCGCCATTTACTGCTGCATACTTGTTGGAGTGAAAGGCTGTTGGCTGGTTCGACATATGAGTTTACTGTTACTTGTCCCTGCTGGTGGACTAGCTGATCTTTATCATTAAGCGAAGGTAGATGTTGATGAAGGCCTGCAGCAGGTGGTTATAAATTATTTTGATGAGTGGGCCATCAGGTATCTGAACACAGAGAAAATTAGACTTGACTTTAGTATTAAAAACTCCAATTTTGTTTCTTGTGCAAAGTGCAGTGGTTCTCCGCGCTTATTTCAAAATAATGGACGCCTTTCTCACTTTTCTGATGCTGTCTGACTCTGAGAGCATAATCTGTACCACCTGTGGATGAAACGATGCTAAGTTGAATGAGATGACTTCCTTTAGGTTTCTTCTGATGTCAGTGACTGGTATTACTTGTTGGTTTGCCAGGTATGTTCCTCAGTCTTGCCTGCTTTCTGTTCTCTGAAGTCTCTTTTCGTTGCCTCTTCCACCAACTTGCTGATTTGCTGTTGTGGGTCATTGAGTTCGTTGGAAACAAGATATCAATTGCTCATGAAATCTAGGACTCCTAAGGCTTTTTTATCAGTCTAACTTATGATTTACTGCAAAAACGACTCCTTAGGTAGGAAATTTACGCAAACTGATTATGTATGTATTACTTAAAGGCGAAGAAATTGAAAATAATTAACACATTTTTATTTCAAAAGTTTTAGCTATAAATAATTATAGTAACCCGGTAAATGCGTACTGCCAGTGAGTTCCAAACTGGGACGAAACGGCCACTCAGTACTCCTTAGTTTTAAATGGTTCTTTAACTGATATCATGCCGTGTTGAAATTTGAAAAAACAAATCTTCAGTCACTTGATATAAAAGATAATTTATCTAAAGGGACACTGCACATAAAACTTACACAGAGAAGTGTGTACTGAAGTCGGTGAAGTCGACAATACTCTGCTTATCATTTAAACTCAGCTGTCCACTTGGAATATGATACCAGTCTTCATTGGATAACATTTGACGATAATCATGATACAACTTGGGTTTCTTTTGAAAGTCATTATCTTTATTGACAGCTGATGCTTTCATGGTTGACGATAATGACAGAGATGATGAAGGAGATGAAGAGGAGGATGTCGACGTCGAACTTGGCTCTAGTTTATAATAGAATTTACTTGGTAAACCTGGAACCAGATTGCGAAAACTGTCAGGAGGGAGGGGAGAAAAGGCAAAAAAGAAGCGAAATTAAAGCAACAAATATCAGAAGTAACTATATGATTTTGCTATCAGAAAATAATGTTTGTATACGCTAGTGTGCATACTAGACTGACCGATTTTCATGACTCATTTTATAATTAGAGGGAATTGTTAGCCATTATCACACAGCGCCGTCTTGTATGCATTACTCATATTCAAGACTACGTAATACACTGATAAAAAGTAGCCGAAACCAGTTTAAATAGACCCGGACCAGACAAACACAGGCTTAACCCAGTTTGGACAAATTAGGTCGTCGAGGTGAGGCAGAATAATTGTCATAACACGACCAGGCAACCTACAGACCCGACCTTATCGAACCAATATAATTGGTTTTTTGTTGGTTTAACCGAGTGTACCGAGGTACATAATATTTGCGTATAATGTGTTTTTGTAAATTAAAATTTTCTGTGGGCTACATGTATTAGGAATCATAATAGCTTTATTCTGTTTATAAAGTGTACAGAATTGTCAGCAGAATTTATTACATGAAATTTATTGTCTTCATTCGGCATCTTCAAGTAAAGTAGTAACTGATTATAGATAGATAGCATGATGAAGTGTCGTCTGACTTGAAGCACAAACCAGTCTCCTACAATATTGAAATCAAAACAAGATTTTGAGCGAACAATTGTTTTCGATAACTTCTTCAGGCTCTACAGTTATAAATCCATGAATAATAGAGTACATATAGCCAATAAAGGCAAATGAAAATAATATCAGAAACTGTATTGGGGTGCATGTGTAAGTTGAGATGATAGTCCATTAGTTAACATAATCAATCAAATGTGTATAGGGTGTATAGTCAGAAAAAAATGTGATGAAGTGTGGTGAATGAACAATTGGGTGATATAGTGCTGTTTTATAGTCAACAGAATACAAGTGTCATTGGGGTGAGAGAAATGCGATAACCACAAAATAAATACAAACACACATTAACAAAGGGGACACTGAATGTGAGGGCTGACCGATAATGTCTAATGATAAAATACAGAGGCTAAATAGTAAATTGTAATAAGATGTTACAGAGTTGGTAGGCTTAGTGTAAAATCACAAAGGTTGACAAAATTAAGGGTAACAATGAGGTGAAATAAACTGGGTGGAGAAATGGATAATAAAGACATGATATCACAGAATGATAATAATGGTAATAATAATACGGAAAATTATGATCCTGGTGACCTTATAGTGGGCCAGGGTAGACAGAGGGAGTGAATAAGTTTTTTCTGTACACATAAGTCTGGTCTTTCTCTATTAATCTCTAAAGCCTCAGCTATGGCTAGGAGGCGTAATCGTGTGCCTTTGGGGAGATTGTTCGGTACTCGATACACAACTGTAAATGACTCATCTACTTTGATGCTGTGTTCGCTATCCACTAGGTAAGACAGAATTGCACTATTTAATGATTTGGTCGCTCTTTTCCCAAGCCAGACCGGGATATGTTCACGAGTGCGTAAAGATAAATTCCTTTGGTACGACCTATATAACTAGCTCCACAGGAGCAGTTGAATTTATGTACACACATTGATGTCTTCATTTTGGGTAATCTATCTTGAATGCACAGTGTCAATATCGGTTTGGTTGAGAAAGTGACATGCAGTTTTGCGGCACTGAAAGTTCTTTCAATTGCTCTCGTTAATCTACGGTTTAATATGTCGCTGGATATACCCTATACACATTTGATTGATTATGTTAACTAATGGACTATCATCTCAACTTACACATGCACCCCAATACAGTTTCTGATATTATTTTCATTTGCCTTTATTGGCTATATGTACTCTATTATTCATGGATTTATAACTGTAGAGCCTGAAGAAGTTATCGAAAACAATTGTTCGCTCAAAATCTTGTTTTGATTTCAATATGGGGATATTTCATTTACTGAAATCCTACAATATTCCTTCCTTATCTCCTTAGAGAAATGAACGAAATTCCATTGAAAGCCAAATGAAAAATGTGCACGAGTACTAATATATGTGAAAAACTCGTGCACTGTGGTAGTAAGTATCAAAACGTGGCATCGACCTATGAAGTCTTTGATTGTTAGTTTGCGTCGTGTATGCAGGTGTGAAGACTCCATATTAGTTTGTTTATTAGATATATCACACAGTGAAACAGTATTATTTACTGGATGACACAGTTTCGAACAAAATTTATTATTGTTCATAGTCATATCAATTATAATCACACGACTTTGACACTTGAGTTTAATAGTTTCCTTTGTTCTCTCCTATTACTCGTAGGGGTAGTAGAATTTTCCAGATATCTGGGTGGACAGGTGATGAATCATTCCTATTACATGTATTTGCAGTTGACTCGATAAACAAAGCTTCTGTTATCAATCTCTCCCTATACCCTGTGAAATGGGATTTTAAAACTGTCTGTCATCCTATCCCATCCTATTGTATGGTTGTGTGTAACTGCACATAGTGAGTGGAATAGCTGAACTATTCTCTAGATTTCTTATCTTATTTGGGTCAACCAATCTAGATTTTGCTAGGTTTTTATGTTCGGTTAGTCTGACTGCCCCTGTTCTACTAGTTTGACCTATGTATTAGACCTGACAATCATTGCAGGCAGGGTATTAGATAAACTAAATTGTTTTGTTTTAAAGGCTCTACAGGATCCTTTAACTGACTTCCGATCGTCCCATCCTATGTCAGCTAAAATAGGATTGGTGAAATGTTTAAATGACACAGCACAAAAACTAAGTAGTTCCAAAGAAAATCTAAAACAGGAACTGATACACATAAAAGAAGCCTTGAAACTTAATAATTAGTCGGATAAATTAGTCAGGAAATTGTAAGGAAATGTAAAAATAAAATAAATAATGATAGTAGCGATAGTGATAATAATAATAATGATAATAATAATAGTGATAATAATAATATTAATGACGACACCGATAATAAGGAATTTAAATCATCAGTAGTAATTTCATACAAGGAAGGAACCTCGGAAGCCTTACGCAGAATTCTTAACAAGGCAGGAATAAAAGTGGCTGGAATTCAAATCCACAAACTCAATTAGAAACAAGCTTTGTCGGTGAAAGGATCAATCCTGTAGAGCCTTTAAAACAAAACAATCTAGTTTATCTCATACCTTACACGAGTAGAGTTTGCAATCCGAAGACATCATTGAATGACTAAGACCACAGGTAACTCGTTTTATTTCCCATCGATAGGGGGGAGGGTTTGCCCTGAAAATGTCAGAAACAGTTATCTAGTGTATTGGGATAAGCTGCAACCCAAAATCATGCTTTCTTTCAAGTTTAATAGGAACTTGCGAATAAACAGGCCTCTAGACCATGCAATTAAAGGCCATATTTTCACAGATTAAAAGAGTGTGAACACATAAAAACTATCTAAAACAGTTTCATGACAATGGTTTCTGGTAGCAGGTCACCGTGATCAGTATCAAAATCGAATCCACAAATCAGTAGTATTAATATGTCACCACCAACACAACACATAGAAACATTAGTCAAGTTGAGATTAAAACAAAATCAAGTAAGCAAACTGAACGACATAAGAATAAAACTTGGGCACTGCGGTAGAGTGTAATTCCATTATGGGTAAATTTTGTTTTCATAAAGTCTCACAGTGTTGTTATACAGTAATGTTTATTGATGACCACGTTTCGAGCACAATTTATTACTCATAAGCATATCAAGGTAATCACACGACTTCCTAAATTCATTTATATAGTTCCATTGTTTCCACTTGATTTTCACTTGATTTGATTGGTAGTATTATTTTCCATATTTCGGGTATGAGTGATGATTCATTCCTATTGCATGTGTTGGGTGTAGATTCGATGAACCAGACAGGATTCAGTAATCAACCTCTCTCTCCCTCCACCTACCTAGATTACTGTTTAGAATTTTAACACTCTCCCACCATGCTATTGTGTGGTTGTGTGCTAATGCATGTATTGCAATTGCTGAGCTTTTTTCTAAATTACTTATCTTCTCTGGGTCAACCATTCTTACCTTAGCTAAATTCTTATGTTCTGACAATCTGACTACCCCTGACCTACTAGTTTGACCTATGTAGTTGACTCAATTAACAGTCATTGCAGGGTATTTTGTAAATTATATTATTTTGTCTAATTGGGTCAACCGACAGGGTCCTTTAACCTACAGTGCTTGTCTCTGAGTGAGTTTGTAGGTTTGAATGCCACCAGCCTAATTCCTGCTTTATTTAGAATCCTACGTGGGGTCTCAGATGTCCCCTCCTTATATGGTATAACAGTGGATGACTTATATTCTCTCTTATTTATGTTATCATTATTAGTTTCACAATTATTTTTATTTTGCTTTTGGCCTTTACTGATCTTCCTAATGAATTTTAGAGGATAGTTAGTTATTTAACACCAACTCCTCTTCTATCTGTTTTATTTCATCATTTGGGTCTTTTTTGTGCTACTTAGTGCCATTGCTCGGTTTGTTAAACACTTAACTAAGCCTGCCTAAGTGAAAATCAAGTGAAAAAAGAACGGAACTATATAAATGAATTTAGGAAGTCGTGTGATTACCTTGATATGATTATGAGTGGCAATAAATTGTGCTCGAAACGTCATCAGTAAACATTACTGTATAACACTGTGAGACTTTATCAAAACAAAATTTTTACCCAAATTGAATGACGTCGCATAGATGACATGATCGAGTTGATTTAAACGAAAACTGAAGGAAGGTCATGTCAGCATGAATGTTATTAGAGATAATATTATTCTCATAAGTATGAAAATATATATACCATTTTACAGCTTGTGAATAATACTGATGAAAGGAGTAAATTTTCTCCGAGTGCTACTCTTTCTATACACTGGATTATCTGTCATACCTAGAGACGAGGAAATGAATAATTTGTCTGAGTTAATTTTATGTTTCCCATTGTTTGTTTGGACCCAAATATCCAATATTCATTGACCTATCGACCC